TAGAAAAATTCTTAATTAATCAACAGAAACTTATTAAGTGGATATTCCAGGTAGGGCTGCAACTTTTGTAGACCAAACCATTCAAAATGGGGCTTTTGCACCAGTTAGACTTGGATTTTGGGGTTATTGTCTAGTCTCCTCAATTGGGTTCCATTTGGGACCATTTGTGTTTTAGATTTTGAGAGAGGGAAAAATCAGTTAATGGTATTTTGATTCTCATTTATCTAAATACACATATATTCATTTTTTAGATTGATGTTGGGTATATGGAAAATTCATTTTTCACTTGGGGGAAAGTTCTCAACACTTGCATAAGATAAAATTGCTTTATTGTTAAAACAGTCATTGTCTCATTTACCTAAAAAATAAAAGAACATGAACAAATGCACTTGCCCATACAAGCACATTTATCTAGGTATGTGGCTTGCTAAAAAAGAACAGGGCCTTGGATTGAGGCCTCAGATAGCCTAAGCCCAGCAAAACCCAATCAAAGCCTCGCCCTAATTTGGGCCAAAAATCCATTAATACAAGGTGGAGAGAGGAAATGGGAGATTTCTTTTTAACTTCAAACTGATTGCATAAGTTTTCTATATTAACCCATTAATTTCTGCCATATAAGCCCATATCATCCATATAACACATCTTGTATTAGTTATTTTAACAATTAATATTACCTGTTCAAAGTTCTCAACTTCTTATTTTCTAAGCATGAAACTTAGTTGGCCTGTTTTATACATGTAACAAAAAAAATGGTTTTGGCCTTTAGGCTGCGTTTGGAAATGATGCAAATGGAGTGTAAATCTCGATTCAGGGTAAATTTGCATTTTGGTTCACTTTTACCTGTGTTTGGTAATATTATATTTTTGCATTGATAAGTGACAGACCAATGCATATTTACATTGATAATAAGATGTAGAAGTACATCAATAAAAAAGAAGTAAATTTGCATTCAAGTGGGCTTTTGATAAAATAAAAAACATATGATTTATTAGAATTCGTGTTTGCATCCATTACAGCTAAAAGTTTGTTTGGTAAGAAGGTAAATTTGTCAATGTAAAACTAACCCAATTTTACAATTTATATAAATCATTTTACAATCTACATATTTACATTCACACATATTTGCCTCATTTTCAAACGCAGCCTTATGTCCATAAACAGAGAATGAGGAGAGGAATTCATGCAATCCTTTCGAGTTCTTGCTATACATATAAAAAAACTTCATACTTCTATAGTTTAGTTTTATTCCGTTTGTGAAGTCCAAGTGAAAGGTGCAAATGCAAAAGGTAAACAAGACCTTCAGACCCAATCAATCCGCCCAACTCAACCTGGGTTTGGGCTGCTCAACTCGAATTTTGACTTTTGGTTGGACCTAAACTTTGGCCAACCCACCCAGGTACCCATATCTCTAGGGATATTCCATAAATGACCTCCCTAGTATTTTTCCATGTGGAGGGGTGATATAACAATTGCTCAACTAATAGGAAATCCTCTTTTTATTAGCCACAAATTCAATGCCCACCCTTATATACCCCTATCTTATATTGGGCTTTTCCACAATGATAATGATCAAATGTTCTGAAATATGATAATGATGTTTCCATGTGAAATTCAGAAGAAATTGATGATGCATTTGGGGTTGGTGGTTCAGGTTTCGGCCCAAGCTGAATCATATTTAAAAGGGACAAACCCACCTTAACCTCTAAAGCCCAAGGTGACTCAATTCTAGCCCAGTTTGACAGTATTCTCGCCCATATCGATTTGCTTCATTCTTCAGATGTGTACTCCGAGTAATTGAGGACAACTCATCTTCTTAATATTTAACTCAGACCACACTCCTTTATTGCCAGTACAATAATAGTCATGGGGTCAGAAGCCATTTGAATTTAGAATTAAATATAGCTTTAGAATAAGTATGAAAATTGCACGTGTAGTGGCCCATGGGCCATGTTGAAGCATTTAATCCCCACTTTGTAATTTCTTTTCTGCATTTAAGGTCTTTAGAAATTAAGGAATTTGGTGTACAGTCGGAGTCAACTGTAATGGGATTCTCATTCCCACAGGAGAGGTAGGAAGCCATTCCACAAGAATGAGAATTAGATTCCAGTTCCGCCCAACCAATATTCCTGTGAACCAAATGGTCCTCAAACTTATTATACTTTTTCTCGGTAAATTTCTTTCAATTACCTCCTCTATATTTTCAAAAAATTTAATCAACCTCATAGATTTCAAATTTTTTTACCTTCTCCTCTTACACTTGTTTGTATCACTCACTTTCCTTCCTTCTAGATCCATCAATTAGACTACCTTGTCACATAACTCAAAATAATTCTAAGACCCCAAAACACCGCTAGTTAAACATGTTTACTTTCAATTTGATATGACTAAATTATCCTTGACTAACAAGGATCCATTCTCTTAGGGTTTGTTTGATTTGTAGTCTGAATCGGAATCAAAATCTCTTAGAATTAGAATCGGAATGATTTATTCATATAGTCTATTTGGTTCAGACAGGAATTAGAATCAGAATAAATTAGAATGAGATTTCGTTTCCTAGGAAGGGAGAGAGAATGGGGGAATGCCATTCAAGCAGGAATAGGAATGGAATTCTAATTCCACTCAACTAAACATTTGGAAGACCCCTATTCTCATAAACCAAACGGGCCCTTAGTTTTTTCCAATTAATTATTTAGAGACAGTTAACAGAGATTTCTAAGAAGATATTACGAAAAGTAATATTATTATTAGCGCCTGTAGCTTTGTGGATAGAGCGTCTTTTTCCTAGATAGGTTCGACCCCTACCTGTCGCGTTTAAATTTTTTAACGATTTCAAAATCGACCTATTATTTTCTACAATCAATTTAATTAAGTAATGTCACTTCTCCAGCCCACACAGAAACTTATCCGGTTATTCATTGTCCTTAAGCTGTATTTGGTTTGATACAAGGTTTTCTTTTCCATCCAAACAAATGAGATTTTTGTATCCTGTCTTCATATCAGGGTTAGGGTTAGTTAGGGTGGTGAAGGGTGAGGAGGGAGAGGGGGGTTTGGGAGATAGGTTAAAAAAGAATAACTCAAATGCTGAGAAAAGGGATAGAAACAGTAGAAATCTATATTGGAAATGGTTATTCAATTAACTAATAAATAAAGAGATTGTCAAATTTTACAGTTAATTGTGATGGAAACGGTGTCAGCTCAGCATTATAAACAAGTTTAGCAAAAAATGTCAAAAAAAAGTTATTTGGTTGAGCCGTTTATTAGATAAATGGCTCTCATGATAGAGTCGTTTATCAAACAATAAAAAACGCCAAATCTGACATTTCTAACTTTGAAGACCATTTCTGAAAAAAAAAATAAATAAATAAAAAAAATTGAAGACCATTTTTTTACTGTTTGGCTTATATGGCGCTGAGGTGTAAAAAAAATTATACCAAACGTTTATTTTATAAATGTCATCAATGTTTTAAAAATCGACCCGGAGGTGAACTGTTTTTGCTTATGGGTCACAGGTCATTGGTTCAACTGGCCGGGTTGAATGGTTCAGACCATACCACATCAGCAATATATATATATACATATCTGTGTATGTGCGTGTGTGTATTTTTTAATTCAGTTTTTTTATTTTTTTATTTATAAAAAATATTAAAAATTGTAATTTAAGGCAAAAAAATAGGTTTCTTTTTCATGAAAATAGTTGGACAAGGCACCTACAGCCTTTGGGATGCATAGATCTCGAAAAGTTACCAAAAAAAAAATCACCCCAATCGGACGTCAGAGTGCAAAGTTATGACTTCCGAAAGTTTGCAAGTATTTAGTGTATACAACCTTGCAACCTGGTCACCAGGTTGAATGAGCCAACAGTCGAACTGTTCTTGGCCAAATCAACGGTTTTTTACCGTCTGATGGGTCTTGACTGAACTGAACCCGAAATTTTGACTGGGTGACGATTCGAACAGTTCAACCAGGCAGGTTGAAACATTGAATGCCATCATTACCAAACAACCTCTATCTCTAAAGTAAATTCAAGGCAATGCTGGATATATAAATTAAACCATATTTGAGGGCATTACTCAGTTCTAAAATGAATCTATCTATGGTCTATTTGGTTCACAGGAATAGGGGTCTGGAATCAGAATCGAGATAGCTCATTCCAATTCTAATCATTTGGTAGAACAGAAATGGAATCTAATTTTCATTTTTGGTAAAATGGCATTACCCCATTTGAGAAAATGATCATTCCCTCCCCCTCTTTTGGGAATGAGAATCCCATTCCAATCGGTTCCAATTCTTATTTGAACCAAACGGGCCCCTATAGATTAAGAAAACATATTAGAAGGGTGCATCATGGGTAGGGTTGGGTTGAACTTGAAGGTTTGTTAAGGGGCTGGCATACATTTTCAAGAGGCCCACAATTAGGACAAGGTTGTTACCCAATACTTTACTTGGCCCACTTTGATATAGGTCCGGCCCAATTAACTTTTTTTAATGGCTTTGTTAATGGCTCTCAGGACAGTCCACAGTTAACCTTTTAACTGCCCTAGTCGAAAGTGGACTAGCCTGAGACCTGCAGGTAACCGACATACAATACTTGTATACATAAACACAAGTGGGTCTGAAGCTACCTTTACAATTTTAACTAGTTAGTGTAACTCCACACCCGGAATGGTAGATAGAATGGGCTTGGATTGCGTTGGCCTCAGATCAGCCCAGCCCAGTCCACCTTGATGCCATAGAAAATTAAAGTGAAACCACTTCGTTTCATGTGGCATCCATGATGAAATACTGAGTTCAGTTGACGGTCTTTCTGTTGAGTAATGAAACACCTGAGCCCAAATATGCATTCTTTGATTCTTTCTCATCAAATGGCGAAGATCATCTTATTAGCTTTGATGTTTGACTTTGACCCCTTGACTGGTAGCTTACTATCCAAACCAATGCATGAGTACATCACACTTAGAAACAGTGGGCCCATCCATTGTGGTCCTCAGTACTCTCACCACTGAAAGAACAAGCTGGCATTTTGTATTATGAAGGTGGAGTGGGGACACAGTCGTTATATTATGTACAAAAAAGGACAAAAAAATAAAAAAAAAAAAGAAAGAAAATGAAAGATCAAGGGTCACAAAATTACATCACATGCATAGATGATAGAGAACGTGCGCGGTGCGCTACATGTTCTCGTCCTCTTCTTTCTCCGCTTAGGATGCCTTCTTCTCTTTTACTATTTCCACTATGGTGGGCCCACCCCCTTGTTTTTGTCCCCACTTTTCTTCTTGCATCGAAATAGATCCTTCTCCTCCCGTCTCCTCCTCTCCCCAATCTTCCATTATCACAGACTGCTGATAGTATTTAAAGGCTACCACCAACATGAATACTGTACAAAGATACTCCGTTAATCATGTAATCAATTCTTCAATTTACCAAAACTACCCCTACACTTACTTTGATATGACGAGTATATCCTTACCTGCCCAAACGCGTGCTACTATTGATGATAAATTCCACACGAGGGTAAAAATGCCAAACGCTACGGCCTTCTTGTGCGCGCATGAATTCCAGGCATCCCGAAAGCGCCTAATCCAAAACTTGCCTACACGTAGGACCCACTTGAAGCATTAGGGGGGTTAATCATCTTGGCATATCATGATCGGACGGTTGTGATAACACGCACAAAAGAATTGCTTTGACCTAGGGAGATCTCAATATACGGTCCTTCGGAAATCGGAATGGAATGCCCTTGGACTCGCATTACAATTACATGCACCAGTGGACAGCTATCACAATCAAAGAGAAGAGGTTCCAGGAAAAATACCATTGATGGGTCCCACCACAACAATCCACAACTGATTAATAATAACCATCTGATCTGACCTCTTGTGTCTGATAAATAGATCACTAGATCTCAGGTGGACCTAATTCCAAGGCCCAAGATGGTGGGCCAAAAAAAAACAATAGGTCCGACCACCATTGATATATAGGTTAACGTCATCCAACAGAGCACAATGTCATGACAGTGCCCAACTTTAGTGGACGATCCACATCAAACGGCAATTCAGTCACCAACTGAACCACCAAATGGTCCAAATCATCTTAGATGTGTGACCAGTGATTCTCTAACGTATTATAGTTAGTCCAGTTGAATTGCATACTATAATTTCTCAGAAAGGAAAAAAAAAAAGAAAATAAAGTTAATTAATCTTTTACCGTATCCCGTTAATTGGGTGGAATAAGAAGAACAGATTTTTGGAAGCGTAAAAACTCCAAAAAAACCTGCACAGAGTGCACGGCCAAATGTCAGCCAGAATCCCTACAAAAATATGAACCCTTACGTCTTTCTTTCTTTTTTTTAATTAATAAACAAAAATCAACTAAACCTTACCCAATTTGGCCATCTTCCAGACGGTAATGGAGCTTCCACACCGGGCTAAAACAAACAGCAAAATTGCCAACTGCCATTCTCACAATTCCTGTTTCTTAGTAATTTAATGGAGAGAGAGAGAGAGAGAGAGAGAGAGAGAGAGAATTACCTTCATGGTGGTAGAAGGGTCTCCAGAGAACAAGCCTCTGAGCTTTAACAGAAACTCGTTTAAGTAAGGAAGAATTAATTTTATTAACCAAATTGCCTCTTCTTCCCCCACTACATGTGTCTGGTTTGAATCATCTATATCTATAGCTCCCCTGTCAGTTTTGAAAAAGGAAATAAGTGAGAATTAAGAAACATATCTAACTTCTTTATTTAAGTAAATTTAGTGGGTTTGGGAGATTTACCTGCAGAGAATTGATTTGTAGACAAAAATTAAAGCAAGATAGATGAGACCCAGATAAGACGTTGTAGAAATTAAGCTGTTGAAAGTGAAAAAAAAAAGAAAATTCAGTTATGATGGGGATTAATGAGGGAGAAATGTCACTTCTCATTTTATTAGACTGGCACCCATTACCTGAAATTAAGGTCTTTAGTGAAGGAGGATGAAAGCAGGAAAAATGTCCCGATTCCAAACACAAATGCTGATCTCGATACGTCTCTCCACATGACTAAATCGACTGAATTTTTCAAAAAAAAAAAAAAAAAAAAAAATTCAAGTAGAGAAGTGAAAAAATAAAGAGAATTTTACTAAACGAATCAGAAGAGAGACTCACCAATACTTTGTAATTTTCCATGGGTTTCTGGTTTACCATTTACTTCTGAAACTTCAAAGGCCAACAAGTTTCAAGAAGTGAGATACAAAACAGAAAAAAGAAGCACATAAGACCAGGAACTAATATAACTGTAACCGGAAATGACTTACTTGGAGGTGATTTTCTAAGATCTTGATCAATTACAGGACGAGCAAAAACAGAGCGTCGCTGCTTATTCACATTTGGAGAGATGGGTGCCGATTTATCATGGCCCTGTTGAAGCTTGCTTTCTTCATCCATGGCTCTTTTCAGTTTTGCAAATTTATGAGCAATTAGAGAGTGGTCTGCAACAGGTGATGGGTTTTTATTCAGAACTGGAGAGATGGGTTTCGGAGTTTCATTGACCTGTGCAATTTTCTTCTCTTCATTCACAACCTTTTGGGGTTTTACAGGACTTCGGGAAATCACAGGTTGACCTGGAGCAGGGGGTGGCTGTTTATTCACAATTGGAGAGAGGGGCTTTGGTGTTTCATCAGTCAGTTGAATCTTCTCCTCTTCATCCACAACCTTCTGAGGTCTTACGGGAATATCAACAATTACAGGTTGAGGTTGGTCTGCTACTGGGGTGGGCTGTTCATTGATGTTAGAAGAGGTGGAAATTGAGGTTTCATGAACCTCATCAACCCTCTTCTCTTCATTAACAGCACTTTGGGGTTTCTGTTCTTCCATCCTAATTTCCTTAACATCAACGCTCTTCTTCTCAATCCCAATCTCTGCAACATCTTCCTCATCGTCCCAATCACTTTCTTCATCACCATCAACCCCATCACCGTTCAAACCTAGTTTTTCAGGAGATCCGATCTCACCCACATTGCTAAAACTGGTTGAAATTGTCTTCTCCTTGCAAACACCGAACTCCTTGCAATTCTCTTCAGGAACCTTAGGGGACTCAGATCTAATCTTCTTCATCTGAATTGGACTTCTTTCAATCCCATCAGCCAGCATTCCAAGCTCCTTACAAGACTCGTCAGAAGATCGAATCGACTCGGATCTCGTCTTCCTTAACTGAATTGGGCTCTTCTCTACCTGAATTGTGCTCTTCTCAATTCCATCAAGAGACACGCTAAGCTCAGCCGGAAATCTGTTCGACTGAGATCTCACCTTCCTCATTTGCAATGGGCTTCTCTCAATTTCCCCTGCAGATTCAGATTTCCACTTCTTCCTCTTCCCATCCACCCCAACACTCAGGGTACGATTCAACTTCTTGTAAACCTGAAGTCTACGCCCACCACCCTCTTCAGTATTCTCTTCCCCATTGAAGACCTTGATCCCACCTTTAAACTCATCGCTCCTCATTCTGCTCTCCCAAACAGAACCCGCGACAACTTTCCTAGCTCCCGTTCTTTTTCTAGCAGTCTGAATCTTCTCCATTATATCTCCACACTCTCACTCTCACTCTCAATCGAGCACACTCACTCAGACAGCAATCAGAAATGATAACCCTTTACGCAGAAGCAAGAGCGGTTGGTGAAAAAAGACATTGAGAGAGAGAGAGAGAGAGAGAGAGAGTGGGGGAGAGGATTATGTCACAAGACTCGAGCTACTTTTCCTTCTAAAGATGGAGCAAGAGGAGAATTTTGGTGGGGCAGGATGATTCGTTTTAATGAGAACTTTGGTTATTCTCGTCGGCTTTGCATCAAAGGATCTCTGAGAACTCTGTTTCCGAGGCACCCGAAAGTCCTGAGGCTCTCACATGCAGGGATGAGGACGATGAATGTAGCAGATAGGAGGCAGAGGGAAGGCGGAAGAGAGCTTCCGGAATGTGGGTTTTTTCTCCTCTAAACTATATTTGTCCGGAGCTAAACTGCTAAAGCCAGAGGCCAGAGAAAAGTTCGCAATTTGTCCTAGTTGTTGTGCCAGGGGAGCCGTGGGCCTCTGAATTTTCCCAGGCGTCCATAAAAAATAAATAAAAAAAAGTGAAAATTATTGCCGTTTATTTTAAACGGGGAGATTATCGCTTTTCTGATTAACTTATACAGCACTGGTCAATTAGTTGGATACTGGCTTGTTAAAAGACAACTTTACTCTTCTAAAATTTACCTATTTAATTAATTATGTTTATCAAATATTTACTTATTAATCTGATAATTGGGTTTGACTATGATTGAAAAAATTTGATATCCAAACAGCAATTGAACAATAAATTAGAATCATAAACGTGGTAGTGAATAAGGTGTTATTTATCAAAATTCATGGGTGGTTTTTGATTGGTCAAAACTCTTTTCATACCATATCTTTCCTGTATCATATATTTTCCCTTTCTAAAAACAGAATTAGAAAACATAAAATCAAATCAAAATTGAATTATTCAAAAAAAAAATGAAATTGAAACTGCCTCCCACACCATAACTAGTCTGGATCTCCTGCTCACGTTTATCGCAACCACACATAGAGAACGTCTCATCCTCTGCATAGTATTATGCAGGGGGAGATATTCTCAATTCACGGGAGGTGGTGTATTGTGGGTAGGCATGAACAGGGTTCTCGTGGGCAAAAAATCCGCCTCCCACTATAACCTCTAAAACCCCTACAAACCTTCTGTGTGGGAATGAGATTCAATCCTAGTCTCTACTGCAACTAATTTAAGAGCTTCTTTGAGGACAGCTAAACTGGTTTAACACACTTGGATGGGGGAAAATCTTTTCTCACATTCTTACCCACAAGACACTATGCGGCGTGTACATTCCCCATTTCCAATGTACAATATGTATTATCCTGTGAATAGGGACGTAGGAAGAATTTGTGGAAAGGAGATTTGAATTCCTGATAATGTTATAGAGAAAATGTTAACTAGATTTTCCATTCAAGATGCTACCTGCACTCTAGACCTACCCACCAGTGGCTCAGTTGCTATGTAAATGGGTTTGTCTCGAGTCCCAGTGCCACGATTGCTTTCACCGATTTTTGGAGAAGAGTATTTGAGATAGTTAGAAAAATTAAGAAATTATTATACCACACCCAAGAAAAATGAAGTACAGCCCTTAAACCAATAAAATTTCTGCCGTTTTAATTAAGTTTTTCATTCACCACTGTGATTCAATCTAATCTACCAAATAGTAATGATTTTGCATCCAATTTTTTATTTACAACAGGGATAGCCCATCGCCCAACCCAGGTGCAGGTGAGACTTGATCCCAAGTCTTCGATACGATCAACAGAAAACTTTACCAACCAGCTAATTGGCATTTGGCATAATGATTTTGTATCCATGTTTTATTGTCTGTCACAAAAAAATGCAGCTACCATGATCACATCCGATGTAGCATGGTGCAACTCTAAATAGTAAACGGACAAACTACTATTTGTGATGATTGTGTATGTTTGCTTCTACATTTGCTTAATAATCACAAATTGACAATCAAGTGATGCCGATTATGTATTTTCTTAAAAAGTTTGGTTTCTATTAGAATTCCCAACAAAAGTTAAAAATGATATTTTAGGTAAAATCTATTTTAATGGTGGGTCTGGATGCTTCTTACATGAGGGACATGGTGATTGAAGGGATCGCATTCTCATCTTGGCCTGGTTTATCCACCATTTTCTTTCACCTTCTGGATAATCATAATATGGTGTAAGAATTTTCCAAAATAAATTTTATACAACCAAAAGGTGTTCACATAGGCAAAATTTGCACCCATTTTAGATGTGCATTTACATCAATCACTAGATTATGCAAAATTATTTTTGTTTATCTGATATGCCCTGATTAGCAGAGAAAGTTTATGTCCCAAAAACTGCTGCAAAATGTTTACCATCTTCTTCCTTCATTTTCTCTCATATAAAGTTGTGATGACCACTTTATTTTACTGTCACTTGTAATTTTGGCTCCTACTTTATAGGCATCTCGACCTCACTTTTGCTACATCCCTACCCACAAGACTACTGTCATCTATTGCGAACATCTATTCATGAATAATAAGGGAGATAATTCACAATACACACAATACACACATGTTATGTCCTATGGGTAAGGATGTTGGAAGAGTTTGTGGGTAGGAAGTGTGAACTGGAGTTTCACTGCCTAGTTTATTCCTAAGGCTTAAGCTTAGTTTGAAAAGAGCAAGTGTGTACAGTACAATGTACAAATACATGTACAAAAATATAGAATACAAGGTTTTGTATTCTATATATTTGTATTTGTATTCCTTCTACACTGATTTTATTGTACTGATTTATAATCTTTCTAAAACTGAGCCTAATGAATACCCGTCTTTACCTTTCTATTTTCCCAAGCACAACACAAGACCTAAAAAAATGTACCACCTAAAAAGTGTAAACCAAAATTTGGAATCTGCCTATTTATACACCCATACATTTGCACTAATGTAAATGAAATCTGCATTGCAAACAAATGAAAATTTAGTTTGGTATTGTTGGATTTTAATCTCATTAGAGATTAAATCCAATGGGGTTTGATCGGTCAATTACATGAAAAAATACACCTGCACACATGTTTTGAAAAATAACTTTTTCCTTACTAAAACCAATTTTAACTTATCCCATATTAAAAAGTTATAAGAATTGTTTTGGGTTTTTTAATAGAAGCCGATTAACACTCATTAGATAAAAAGAGGAGAATATGGAGGCTTGCTACCATGTAATGCACATGCACGCGTGTGTTTGACACAATGAGGCACAATTTGCTCGCATTGACCGTTGATATGATCAACGGCCATGATTTGATCATGTGTGATCAGGAAACATGATCAACGGCCATCACAATGTGTTTAGGTGCTTTTCTCTGAACCAACACCTTCCTCTACTCCACAATTCTTCAAAAACTATTTAAGGAGCATGAATCAAGAATTCACACACACAATTTCGAAAATCATTTTGTCTCTCTTTCAATCTGGTTTACTACTGTCTCATAGAAGGTTTCTTCGAAGACTCTTCAACTTTGCTGGTTGTAGATTCTCGTCCAATGCTCTATTGTATCTTGAGAACGGATTTGCCTATAACCCAACAACAAACTCAATGAAATTGAGTAGGGGCAAATAACATTTTAAAAATAATATCTTCAAACATACCTCAAAGCTTCTTCTCCAAGTTTCAGGTACAACCTGACTCAATTAGTCTAGTATACAAAAGATTAGATTTGGACTAGGTTTACTCAGCTAGAACAATGAATTAGGGTGTTTTCTGGCATTGCAATGTGGGTTTGGACTCCATAAGGGTGAGGTACCATCCCAACACATGCAGTTAGTGGTGGTTAGTGGGAGTAAGGACAAAAAGAATGCACATAGGGCCCACCTTGTTTACACAATGTAGAGAGACTGCTTTCTCATGGATTTGTGACTGCCCTTCAATGGGAGTGGGCCGGGCTGCAAATGGACTGGATCAAATCAGTAAACATCCAAATGGACTGAGGTGGTTGCATGAATCCTATTTCGTCATTCTATTTTGTTTAATATTATATCCATTATTAAATTATTAATTCTTAAATCATTTCTTTCATCATATTATTGACATCTACTTCTGCATAATGAGGTTAGTTCATCAAGAGAAACCCTAAAACCCCCAACCTTGATGAAGGCACAATATATGCCAACTAGTAGTCTAATAAAAAAAGCCATTACGCAGTGCTGGTCCCAACTATCTAGACATGGTCCAAACCTTTGGCATTATTTTTTGCAAACCTTGGTGGTTTTAATATTTCACATAATTATAATATTGCTTATAAAACCCTTAGTTTGGTGCAGGCTTGTAGCCAAATGAAATAATTTTGATTTTGCTCTGCTTAGGTGCTTATAACAACCGAGCGGCTGGATCTATCATTTAAATGGAGTTGTAATCGCAATTATATATGTTAAGAAAAACAAAAGCAACCACGTGATAAGGGTTTTGATAGAAAGACTGAGGATTATTCGTTTCGTCAGGATTACACAAGTACAGACTTTGTGTTAGGATATATGACTACTAACCAATTATTTCTTCTGATCTGAGTTCAAAGTGATAAGGTGTAGCCTGGACACACCAACTCTTTCAATTGGACATCGAGATGAAGAGTTGGGGAATATAGGCTGGCTGTTCCCAACATGGCCATATTGTATAGTTTTTCCTTGTCTAGTAGCACCTATCATGTGGCACCATATTGAACTTAAGCAGATGCTCTGCCTATAGGATGATACGCTGGCACACAGATGCTGGATGAAGCAAAGCCAACCATATGGGGTTATGGGGAGTTAGCTCTACAAGAATGCTGCTCCACCACCCGTTTGGGAGGGCTTTCATACAGCAGCTTCGTCCCGATGATAAGTGTGGTAGATGTTTCCAATGCATGCTGAGATCGAAGTATATGTGGGGCGCACTGTATGGGGCACCGATGTGAATTCCAGACAGCCGAAAATAACTTTCTTAAAATTAAAAACATGGTTTTTCATGAATGCTTGTTTTATTGACTTCTTGGAAGCTTCCGCCCTCCTGAATATGTCCTTACATCCATATTCATGAGAGTTTGACAAAGAAAATTTATTTTCCGACTGTCATACTGATACAACCCTCCCGTCTTGACTTGGATGGGCAATGCAGGACAAGCTCAAATGAAAACTTTTGCCCTCAGTAAGATGTTGAAGCCCTGATTCCATTTTCCATGCATGATCCGTAGCGATGTTTTAAAAACCGGTTCCCAGTTTGCCTAGTTTAATTGACAGCCATGAGCCAACCCAAGTTTTAATGACCCCAAAAGAGGTATTGATGAGGGCAGATTTGGCCCTCCAGTGAAATTGTGACACGTGGCACCTCGTAACAACTAGGCAAACACCCAGGCAAACAACTTACCAAGTTGGTGCCCACCTGGGCACCGGTTTGGCTAGCCTGGC